ATACGCGATTGGCAATAGCTGCTTATTCGCAGTCTGTGCTACGGCCACGAGCAATTTCCCTTTGTAATGTCCACGTAAATGTGTGCCATCAACGCTAATAACCGGCGGGCAAATTTCGAAGGTTCGAATCGCGGGACCAAACGCCCAGAACACATATTTAAATTCTCTGTCTGGAACGTATCGGGCCACATCACCACTCTGAAATTCCCAATCTACAGATGTGTTGAGATTTGCTCTTTGAAGCGCGGCAAAATATCTGTACAATACAAAACAATTTCATAAATAAATAAACATACTGACAGACAAAAAACACGTATATTTGTAATTAATTTTTGCTTACTGAGGGAGTTCTGCGAAGTTCGACTCCCAACTGCCGTACAGACACTCGATTGCTTTTTTTCTGCCGTGCCATGCCTTCTTGTAACTGACGTCGACTTTCCAACACTGCTTTACATCAGCCTGGACCATGTTAACGTTGTACTCCACTTTCTTTCTGAATCTTATTCATCATAAGATTCGCAATCATATGGGCAGTCACGTTTCTGTGGTCATTTCTGTCGACCTGTTGCATGCAAGTGTGTTGGTCAGTCCATTCAGTTACTTCCCACAAATCATCATGTCGTCTGGACTTATTCACCCGAGCCTTCCACAGACAAGGCACATCTGCATTCGATTTGCAGATCAGTTTGAATGTCTTCTGATTTGAATCTTTTGACAGAACTTCCCGCAACCTATCGACGTTCCAAGCCATTAGACCCGTTTGGGCTTCTTGCTTGCTCCAGAAAACTGTACCCAAACGTATGGTCTCAATGTCGCCATTCCACCGTGGAATAGCATACTCGTTCGCATCTATCCTGGACGGGTCCCATTCACCCATCTCGCGGTATATGTGCCGACCACCAATAGGAAATGGGTGTTCTTCTTCGATAAACTCGGCTTCACTCTCCTCATTCACCGATCTATCTGATTCGGTTTCTGAGGTCTCGTCTGTGAAGTCATCTTCACCGGGAATAAAATCTTCATCGTCCTCATCCGCCGCCCATTCTCTCGATGTCCCTTCTCCAAAATTAGGTACATGAGAAGTCGATGTACCCTCGACATCAAACACTCTCCCGTAACAAGGAGTAAAATCCTCAAACTGTGTAACGGGTGTATTTGCCTGCAACGATAAATGCAAATACACCATGGACATACTAGAAAAGTAATAAATCCATTCAAAACTATCGTTATTGAGTATTGCGGGATTCCACGAACCATCAGGTTGGCTAATCATCATAGTAATCTCCTGAATTGTCCAACCTTTTTCAAACTGACATTTTTCATTAATCATCTGTACCAACTGTTCATATGATATCATCCCCGGAATTATAAATGAACCACTCGGACGATCTTTAAATGAAACAAAATCGTTTAACATTTCCTTCCCAATATGCCAGTACAAATTAACAAGGTATGGACCGGGACCGGGATAGGCCATTTTATACCTGTTGCAAATAAACACTTTCAATTCTTTTTCCAAAAAAAACTCAATTTTTACTCTCCAACAAAAAATAAAAAATAACAAAAAATAGCCCCAATCAAATAATCATCCAAAACCATTAAACTTATAATCCAACAATAACATAAAATTCATCTATAATTCGGATAAATTGAAACCCCTAATTCTAACCCTAATTTCGAAAAACCCTAACCCCAACAACAACCAAACAATACACAATTGACAATTTACACACAAAATTTCAATCCTCAATTCAACATACACACATAATCGATAATCAATTAGCAATTTTCAATCCTCAAATACCACCACATTCAAACATATTATACCAATTCTCAATCTCCAAAAAAATTCAAATAATGTAAAAAGTAAAGATAAGACAATATACCTAGTGCGAATGAATTAACCGGAAATGAGACTCGTGCCGGTGTTGTCGGTTCACACCGGGATGAAGATTGGATC